GCTGGCTCGCCAGGGGCCTGGGGCCTGGGGCCTGGGGCCTGGGGCCTCGGGTTTGCCTTTCCGCTGGGTTTTTGCATCTCTCGCCATTTTCTAGCAGACTGCGCCTGCCAGGGCTCTTGCGGCCTTTTCTTCTGAGGATCAAGTGGCCAGAAGGAAACCCCTAGGGCTGAAGTTGGGGGGACCCTGATTGTTCCGACCGTGGGGAAGGCTGCTTTGGCCCGGACAGCCCCCCACCCCCCGCCCTGAGAGGGCTGTGGCCACCACGTCCTGATTCGTCCTGATTCGAGGGTCTGTGCCCGTGGGCTTTGTCCTAGCCCCCCTCGCCCCACACCGGGCTCGTTTGCTGGAGGTGGGAATGTGCCTGGGTTCCCAAGCCAGCGCCCACACCCCACACCCTCCAGGGCTGCCTGCTGTGGTGTGGCCGTGACGTGACGGCATTTCCAGCAGCTCTTTACTGCCGCTGAGATCTTTAAAAAATTTTCACCACCCCCTTTAAAGAAAGTGGAAAGATTGTGCAACAAGTAATCCGAGAGCCCTGGGAACAGCTGTCCTGGCGGGAAGGAGGTTGAGATTTACAGTGGGAGCCGAGGCTCCACTGTAGGGGCCCTGGCTTCCCTCTTCCCAGGCGTCCTCCCAGCCTGGTCCCGCCCGCCTCCCTTTCAGCCTTGTGGTCCCAGCCGATGGGGCTACGATTGAGCAGGGCTTCTCCTTTGCCCTCTCTGCGCCCCAGCCCAGGTGAACATGGCCTCCCCACGGTCACGGGGAGTCGCGGAAGGTGGCAGGGCGGCTCCTCCGGCAGCTGCTCTCCTGGGTCCAGGAACCCAGGCAGCCCTGATGTCTCTGATCAGCCTGGCAGCCCCGCCAGGAGTGGGGCGTAGGCATCGGAGGTGCTCCCTTTGGTCTTGCGGGGCTTAGTTGTTTTCCCTCCTCGTTCTTGTGTTTCCATCTGGATTGGAGCCGAAAGTTCTCAAAGGGCCTTTTTTTTTTTTTTTTTTTTTTTTTTTTTTTTTCTCTAGGCTGCAGGTCAAGGGGGAGGTGCACAGGCAGCAGATGGGGGCGGGGCTGCCTTCCCAGCACAGCCCCCGGCCAGCGTGCCGGGCGGCCCTCCCCACCACTCCTCTGATCCCAGCTATTATTTGGGCTGTGGTCTCCATTGAGTTTCTCTTCCAGCTAAAGCCTGGAGCTGCTGGGGGTTCTGGTTTGGCGACAGGGACAAGTAAGGCCCAGATACCTCCTCCGCCATCCCTACGATGATGGTGGCCACTAGGCAGACCGGAGGAGGGTGCTGTCCCAGCTGGGCTGGCAGCAGGTCTGCCTGGCGTGTGGGGCAGAAGACGCCCCTGGGACTCTCCTCTGGCTTCGACTTGTCACATGGCTGATGTCTGGCTCTTCCTCAATGCCACCTGTAGGTCTGTGTGGCAGTGTCCCTTCCTCCCAGCCGACTGGGCTTCATGGGGGCCCAGGGGCTGTAGGGGATGCTCCCAGACTGTGCTGGCCTCCTAGTTGCAGCGGGGGCAAGGTCCAGCTATTTTAGTCCCCCGGTTTCCGTTTCCCAGGGTTGGAGTGTGTGGGTGTTTCTTAATAGCTCCAGGGGAAAAAGGAATGCTTGATGTTTTGGAAAGATGGGAGCTGGGAAGTGCAGTCAGAGGCCATGGGGCGGACTTACCACAGCCAGCCCCCCCCCCCAGGTCTTTCAGTGACTCTCACGTCACCTGCTTGCTTGCTCCAAAGGTGTGGCGCCTCCCTTGTGGAAGGGGTGAGGCCTTGGCAGACAGGGCTGTGTTAGCCAGTCTGTCTGCACGGCCAGGTGACACCTCCCTCCACCCCCGAGAGTTGCAGCTGGAGGGACTCTGGGGTTTCACGGGCTGGCGAAAGCGAGCCTTGTGGAATGCGGCCCCGAGTGCGAGGCTGCTGGTGGGCGGGTTTTTCCCATGCGCGTGCTCAGGGCCAAGAGCAGCGTCTCTTGCATCCGTGACTCCTGTGTGGGTGGGAACGAGCCCAGCGCCCCTCCTTGGTTTGGGGAGCCAAGCTGGAAAAGGAAGGGAAGGAGAAGACTTCCCTTCTTGGCCTGTTTCTGTGTCCTCCCCCACTCCCCCACCAATACGTAACTAGTTTGGATTTCTGGAAGTTGGTGGGTTTTGCATTTCAGGGTTTGTAGGGACGCAGAGATTAGGCTGTCGCTGTGGCCCTTTGTCTCATCCGCAGGAGGTCCTGCCTTCCAGCCCCTCCTTTCTCAGCGCTTTCCTGACCGAGGCCCTGGTCCTAAGGAAGGGCTGGCGATGCTCCCCGAGAGTAGTGTCTAAGGGCTCAGAGACAGTGGGCGCCCGGGTTCCACACACCTGGTGGGCAGGGCTGGGCAGAGTCCCGAGGAGCCGGGAAGGGGCGCCAGCGCCCAGGCAGGCCGGGTACACGTGCAGCTCGTTAGCGCAGGTGGTTTCTGTCTCGCAGCGGGCTCGGGCCCCCGTAGGCTCAGCCATCGCGTGTGCTGGACCCTCGGCCCTCGCGAGGGGAAGGTGGGTCTGTCCCCACCCGAGGCCCCGGAGGCCGGCCCCGTCTGTGGTTCTTCTGTTCTTGTGACTTGATCGTCCAT